CTACAGCCTGACGTACAGCACTTGGATGCAGGCAGGTGAGTGCCGTCTGTCAGAGGTCAGAGCGTCTGTCTGTCTCTTTGTAGCTGAGTATATGAACGTCCAGGCCGCCCACCGCTATATTTTTTTTGCTTGAATCGCAATAAGCTTTATTGACACCAGACAAGGTCAGTGACACATATCGTTCCTTGCCAGGTGTGACTCGACCACTGCCGCATTTTTCCCACAATATGGGCTCAGTGGTGATCACATTGTGGGTGTAATGCGTCCCGCGGGGAATGATAGGTCTTGTTGACCTCATCTGGTGTCAATAAAGCTTATTGCAATTCAAGTGTGCGGACACTGGCTCCAGAGTTAGCTCCGTGTCCTTGCAACACCGGGGTAGGTTCCCGCCATGGAGTTTGTATGTTGTCCTCCTGTGGGAAAGTTCTATCGGTTCTGCCTTACTAACGGAGTCACAAAGACTTTTGGATTGATTCCACTGCACATGAGGCCCCGTTCACACTGAGCGATTTATCGCGCGGTAATTCCCGCGATATTGCGGCTATTTACCGCGCAATATCGCTCTCCAATGCTTGGCAATGGGGCAAAGGGTCCTGCTGTCGCGGGTCGTGCGTCGCTACAGCAGGACCCTTTTTGGAGCGGATTTTGCCGCGATTCAATGCTTTTCAATGCAAGCATTTGCGCGATATCGCGTGACAAATCACACGATATCGCGCAAAATGCAAATCACGCGACAAATCGTGCGATTTGCGAATCGCGCAGTGTGAATGGGGCCTTAGAGTGTCAGCTCCTTCGAGGCCGATGGTCCTGTGTGTAGAGGACTTGCCGGTACTACATATAGACTCCAGTTCTGAACTTCCTGTGGAAGACTAGTCCGTATGTGGAAGTTCCGTTGTGTCTTCCGCGATGACCTCAAAGTGAACGGCTTTATCTTGCTCGCAGATGACATCATGGCGGAGGGGATGGAGCCGCGGGAGGCCAGTTGCATCATGAAGCAGACGCAGTATTACTTCAGCAACATCAACGCCACGTACTCGGCCGTCATTGACTGCGGGCCCTGCTCCCGGTGGGTCTGATTGGACCGTACCATGTACAATCTACAGGGGAGTGTTCATAGATCCCGGCTAACCCCGCCTCCCCATCCTCCTCTCTCTCTCTCCTTTGAATAGGTACTTTCACGCCCAGCGACTGTCGAACACCAACCTGCTGTTTGTGGTGGCAGAGAAGCTGATGTGCAGCCAATGTGACATCATGAAGATGGATCACGCGGAGACGCGTTGTATCATTTTGTACCTG